TGTATGTATGTATGTATGTATGTATGTATGTATGTATGTATGTATGTGTATAAAAAACTTTTCTTTTTTCCTTCTATTAATTTTAGTAATGTTTTTCGAAATTAATCATGTCTATAACTGACTTTTCTGAAGAGGCACATTTATCGAAAACTAATTTATATTAAATCTACTAAAAGAAAAGAAAACTCGCGAATACTTTGCATATTCTGTTTCGGTAAATGTTTAGTATAACGCCCTCCCCTCTGATTTTCTTACAACTTTGTAAAATTGTTTATTTCTGTGTGTAAAAAACATTCTGAGAAGGAAAATCGTCGCTCAGGTCTCGTTTTTTTTTAAATTTAATTTCAAAGTTTTGATGTCGGTAAGGTAGGAAAATAATAATTTACGTTTTTTAAATACTGCGCAATTTTATTTGTTACTATATTCACAAATTAACTTGTCCGCATACTCATTAAGGGGATCCTGCAGTGACTGGCAAACTTCCTGGATGTCGATAATGTCAACCTTTCTAATTTTGTTTTCCCTATATCTGTCTTTGTCTAACGAAATGACATCTGTCCTTTTTTCGATTGCTCGCCATCTTACGCAAGATCCGGCAACTACTGTTGCTGCTCTTTTTGTCATTCTGCATCCGTATTTGCATTACTAAAATAATTATTAGATGGATCTTTTTTTGTACGCATTGAATCTTACTTCTACTTACACGATATTATTCCTACATGTTTTCCCAAGAGTGGATGATAAACATTATGTACGTATAAACAGTAGAATTTTTGTTTTAAGCAAATATTGTCGTCAGGTGACAGCTGTGTATGTGCCCCAATAAGTAATATTTGTAATTTTTTGGTGCGTTTGATATAAAATCGCGTTTTCCACCCTAGATTTTTGTGCGGACTTTAATTCTAGACCAAAAACTTGCAATTCTGTAAAGCCAATTAAAAGATCCATTGATTAACGATAATGTCGGTAAATCATACGGCTGCAGGATCCCCTTAACGGTGCCATTTAGGTTAAAATTTAATGATTGTGAAATACTGTACGTGGCCAAAATTGATAAATTGATAAATTGATAAATTGTGATTTTCGTTAAAGCACTGCACACACACACGTGTGTATGGCCTGCTTTATAGAAGTTGTGATTTTTGTTAAAGCAGGGCACACACACACGTGTGTATGTCCTGCTTTATAGAAGTTGTGATTTTCGTTAAAGCAGGGCACAAACACACGTGTGTATGCCCTGGTTTATAGAAGTTGTGATTTTTGTTAAAGCAGGGCACAAACACACGTGTGTATTCCCTGCTTTATAGAAGTTGTAATTTTTGTTAAAGCAGGGCACACACACACACGTGTGTATGTCCTGCTTTATAGAAGTTGTGATTTTTGTTAAAGCAGGGCACAAACACACGTGTGTATGTCCTGCTTTATAGAAGTTGTGATTTTCGTAAAAGCAGGGCACGCACACACACGTGTGTATGCCCTACTTTATAGAAGTTGTGATTTTCGTTAAAGCAGGGCACACACACACACACACACACACACGTATGTATGCCTTGCTTTATAGAAGTTTGATTTTCGTTAAAACAGGGCACACACGTGTGTATCCACTGCTTTATAAAAGTTATGATTTTTGCTCGGATTTTCGTTAAAGCAGGGCACACACATGTTTTAAGCAGATATTTTGTATTTAATTAGCAGACAGTTGTTACGTGACCTTCAAATGAAGTTGCGCAGTACTTTAAAAACGTAAATTATTATTTTCCTACCTTACCGACATCACAACTTTGAAATTAAATTTAAAAAAAACGAGACCTGAGCGACGATTTTCCTTCTCAGAATGTTTTTTACACACAGAAATAAACAATTTTACAAAGTTTTAAGAAAATCGGAGAGGAGAGCGTTATACTAAACATTTACCTCTGTTTCCTTTAAAGGTCTTTATATTGGGAGTTTACACAATTTAGGTTGAAATGTCAATGTACTGCCACAGAACCTTCGGTATTAAACCGGCGACCTTTAAACTCTCGCCATTTCATCACGTGTGAATGTATATCTACTAATCTGAAATCATTTTCGATATGTGAAGCTCGCTAAAGTGTAGCGATATAAACTGACAAAAGAATTAAGAGTATTGACTATATAGAAATAATGCAAATTTTCTCGTATTGTGCGACGTGACGAGCCGAAGTCCTCGACCGGCTAAAAGAAGAATATAAAGAGAATGAGGCAGCGCGGCTCGCGACGTGTTCGTCCTCGAGTCGCGTCCAACGACGGGAGCTCTGTTGATCCGTCGGTGTTAGAGCTGGCCTCGCGTTCGGATCAATTGACCAATACTACTACGAAGAAAAATTCAGATGCTGACGAAAACGTTACTGAGCGCATTACGTCGAACGACGATATCACCATCGCTGCCGCGCGTGAATATCTACATTGTCTCAACGAGCGGCGTACGAAGTCCGAAAGGTACTTCTTATATTAGGGGAGATTAGGTTTAGTTGTACTTCAGTTATATCTTTCTTTGTTACGTTTTATATTTAATTTATAGGTGGGAGGGAGGGTGATAGAGGAGAGTGGTAGAGAGGGGGGAGGGGGAAAGAGAGGGAGGGGGAGGAGAAAGAGAGAGAGAGAGAGAGAGAGAGATATCACCTTTTCAAAAGACATATTTATACAATACTAAAAATATTTTTTAAATATAAAATTGTAATTATTTTTTTTTACACTAATAAAAAGTATTGGATTATTACATCTCTAAAATCAACCCCAAATGCGACACAGAGGATCTTAGTAGCACAATATAGTGGCAACATGTTGACTGAATATTGGTTATATTGAGAATGTCTTGGCCAATATTTTTTAATACAAAACTATACCTATTGGTTATTGATGAAATGCACGTCCACTGTCAATATTGCAGTGCCGATAATGACACCAATGTTGATAATAATATAAAAATTAATGTACTGCCAATATTGCAGTGCCCATGATGACTCAAATATTGGTAATAATATAGAAATAAATGTGCTGCCAATATTGTGGTGCCTATGATGACACCAATATTGGTTATAACATATACATGTAAGTGTGCTGCTGATATTACAGTGCCCATGTCGACACCAATATTAGTAATAACATATACTTATATAAACGTGCAGTCAATATTGCAGTGCTCATGATACTACCAATATTGGTGAAAACGTAGGGGAGACTAGGGCAAACTTGACACTAGGCTTTTTGACAATTTAAATCTATCGTAGAAACTTGCTTTTTCTACTGTAAATGCGTCTTTATGTGCCAGTGTTGTGAACGGAATTTGATGACATTCAGAGTTTAAGGTCCGTATTTATAGTCGGATCTTATATTTAAGACCGTCTTAAGTACGATATTAAGATGTTATGAACCAATCACAGAGCGATATTAGCATCTTAAGACATTACTTAAGATAGTCTTGAAATAAGATCCGACTATGAATACGGGCCATAGTGTAATTTCTAGTGCGATATAAGCGTTTTCGATAGTGAAATAGTATATTATGCACTAAGGGGCGAAAGTAGCGTTTTTCAGACTCGTGTGCGTTGCCGCCCGAGCCTTGAAAAAGCTTTCGCCCCGAGATGCACGATATTTTTCACAATATCTTTACGAAAAGTTCGACCTCCATGCCTAGAGAGAGGCGAGAGTGGCCATTTCACGCCAGGACAGCATAGCGGGACGAAAGTAACCACTTTCCGCCCTAGGGAGGAAAGTGGTTACTTTCGTCCCGCTACGGCCGTCCTGGCGTGAACGTGGTCACTTTCGCTCCTCTCTGCAGGTATGGAAAGTCGAACTTTCCGTGGAGGTGTTGTGAAAAGTAGTTTGTCTTATCTCTCGAAAATTTCCACTTTTTTATCGAGTTTTACTCTTACAAATCTACCGGTAGGTGATTTTGATGGGAAATTTGATGCTCTATATGAATCTGATAATCGTCAGACCATTTTCATATTTTAACATTTTTTATGTTTTTGGAGTGACAAAAGTGAAAAACGACGTCTGGGGCAAAGTCGACACCTTGCCATTTCGTCGGCTCCCAATGGCTGTGTTTTGCCGAACCTCCGCTAGCTAAGCCGCTAAATAGCAATTAAGTGTGATTGGTTGGATCCAAAGGTAAGAACCAACAATCACATTCACGTGCTACTTAGCGGCTTAGCTAGCGCAAGTTCGGCAAAACACAGCCAATAACAAACGATGCTTGCCATGCAGCCGTAAGGGTGACAGTACAAGAAGCGCGGAAACGTGGAAACGCGGAAGACAAAATTTACTAGATTCCCGCGTCCCGTTCCGTCTGTTTTGATTGCCTTGTATTACATGGAGCACAATTTGCGCAGAAAAGTGGAACGGTATGGGACAAATAGACATTTGTATTCATTTCTTTTAATTGTGTTCACTTAATTCATTGCAATTTTTATTAATATGCTTATCTTTTCAGCTTATCTATTGAATACAAGCATTTTAATCGATAAATATCGTTAAAAATTAACATTTTATAATTCTCCGTTCCGCTTTTTCGCTTAAAATATGCTCCATGTAATATAAGGCAATCAAAACATACGGAACGGAACGCGGGAATCTAATACATTTTGTCTTCCGTGTTTCCGCGCTTCCGTGCTTCATGTACTGTCACCCTAACGCTTATGACAAATGTATGCGTACGTCCGATCGCGAGTTTATCGGCATTAATTGTTTTTCAGACATAAGTTTAGATGAAGATAATTGTGAAAGTTCAACAATTTTTTTCTCATTATTTCCAATGAGTGTTTTACTTTATTCCGAATTTTTGTACTTTCTAAATACACGATAAACAATGTATTTTCATTTTTAAACAATAAAAAAATAAGTTCCAGAGGGTCGATTGTGTATTTCAAAACTTATTAAAAATTAAAAAGTGAACGAATTCACCAGGTGTTAACCAATGAAATTATAAATATTTTAGTAAATTCACTCACTTGTGTAATTTTTACTAAGTTTTGAAGTACACAATCGACCCCCAGATCAAATTGTGTCGATTAGGCAGTGTCGAGTTTGCCCCGACATTTTTCAATTTGAAAATTTGTCTTTGTGTCACTTTTTCTTTAGGAAAAGTCCCTGTAGGTTGTCTTCGTGTCACTGTCCCTTTACTGGGGACAAAACTAAGCGACGTATAGCAAAACTTTCTTAAGCAATTTTGTACTTGAAGGAACACTCTTTAAATGTGTACCATTGAATTCGTTTGAAAATTTTAATTAATAGTTAAAAATTGCCTTTGAAAAAATCGTGTCGAGTTTGCCCCGGTCTCCCCTACATGAAAATATGCTGTGCCATTTAAAAAAAAACTGCGAACGCTAGTAACGCGCGCTGCCGCGATGCGTCTACATGCGCCAGTACTTTCTCGTAAACAAAAATTCTCATGTTCTGAGATAAAAAGCGAGTCTGTGGCACACAGAGAGATGACAAAATGCACATTTTATGTTTTTCTGGTGCAGGAGTTTGAACTGTTAAGAGTTTTTTTAGAGTGTTTTTAGAGCAGAAATGGTACGGAAAAATAATTTATTTTATAATTCGGGAACTTAAAAAGAATTCCTTTCTAATTCTCTTTGATATCTGGATTATTAGAGCTAATATTGGATAAGATGAAATTAATATATGGATCCTATATTAGAATTCAATATTGGCTCAAAACGAGAGAGCGTCTACTTTACAATATTGGAACAAATGTGAGAAATTAATTTATACTCAATATGAAAAATTGGATGTATAGGGCGTTTAAAAAAAGTGTCTCATATTTTGAGAGCAGGTAGTACTTATCAATAAGAAGAAAATATCTGGTAAACATGGCTCCTAAATCATAATACCTGTTGAGATATGGACTAATCTTTATTGTATACTATACGAGATGTTCTATGTGGTTCCCATTTATTGTCACATATTTTACATAGAAAAATACACGTTCCTGCAGTGTTTGTATGTCGTAGATGAATATACCAAGGTCTTTAAATGATAAACATTGCCCTCTTCTTATATTAGTTGTTATTTCTACAGTGCAGTAAGGTTTGATTGTTATTATCAGATATCGACAACGTACAAACATTGTAGGAATTAGTATTTTTTTATTTAAAATCTGTGAAAATAAATGGGAACTACATAGAACACCCCCTACAGTATATAATAAAGATTGGTCCATATTTCAACAGGTATTTGATTTAGGATCTATGTTTACTGGACATTTTCTTTTTATTTTGATGAGTACTACCTGCTCTCAAAATATGGAACATTTTTTTTTAACTTTTAAAGCGCACATGGGGTGTAGGATACCCCACTCCGAACTTTGTGCTCTGATAAGTCCCATTAAAATGTCTTTTTCAATAATTTTTTAAACAATGTTAATTTTAAGAAATCGCTATAACTTTTGTTTATCCTTAAAATACATGACTTTAACTTCATTCAGAAATTTTTATGCAATAAAATAGTCAATAGCGTCGTTACAGTACATACTTAAAGACACTGGGGTATCTCATACCCCCAGTGCGCTTTACGTAATTTTTCGGAGGTGTGCGCTTTAAGGGTTAAACACCCTGTATACTGCTAGCCAATATTACTGCAATAAAGTTGTGCTACTAGGGGAAGATTAGAATTATCGATACTTATACATATCTATAACAGATGAACTGTGCATCTTCTACAAGTTCCTACTAATAATTATTCTACTTCTAGAATAATTATTAGAACAACTATTATAGATTTTCAAATAGTTGAAATTTATATGTATATGGGGCATTTCATGCCAACTCAACCAATGATTATCCCCGACCATTTTTTATTTGGCCGAAATTTTTTTGTGTTTTTGTACTGAATAAAAGTAGCTTCCATGATTTTTTTTAGATTTTTATCTCTACTCATACTTAAGTTATGGATCCTTTCTAAAAAAAGGCATGTTAAGTCGATACTCGCATATCTCAAAGTTTTTTGTTGCCCTTTTTCCGCGATGCCAATTGGTTCTCTCGCTGCGCTTACTTCATTTGCAGCTGTCATCGCATATTTTGACAGTTGTGTGTATCAAGAAGTTAATAGTGTAATAGTAATTGCATAATGTTAAAGCTAAATAGCGCGCGCGAAGCGCGCATCTGTGGTGTCTAGTTTAAAAAAAAAATATACAGTTTAAAATTTGGAAAATTTCAAATGCCTGTAACTTTAAGAAGAAAAAAGATATTGTAAAAAATAAGGTAATCTTTCTTTTCGTTTTTTACTGTACTTTTCGAAGAAAATATCGAAAAATTTTTTAATGGGCAATATGACTGTTTTTTTTTCTTAGTGCGACCGTTTTGATTTTTTTTTTAAATTTTACAAATTTTATATTTAATTTCGAAATTTTTAAGACGTATAAGAAAATGGGATTCCAATAACTTCGATTTTTTAAGGGATTTTTTCTTCATTTTTTTTTTAATAATTTTTTTAAATCAAGATAGACTCTACCGATGGCTATCAAAAAATTTGATAAATTTATAGACAGCAATCCTGAAATTTCTATCTATAGGTAAAGAGGAAATTCGAATATTTTCTATTTTTTAATTGCATTTTTACTTATTTTTATTATTAAATTACTTTTTTTAATGGAATATTATAAATTGGGGAACTTTAACGGTTAGCATGTAACAATTAAATCATATAGTTAATAAAAAAAAACACGTATATTATCTGTGAAAATAGCAATCAGATTTATTTGAAAATAAAATAAATAAATAAAAATCAAAATTAAAGATAAACATAAAATAAATGATAAAT